CTCTGCTCGTGCCGCAGGGCAGTACGCCTTCACACCCACCGCCTCGTACAGCTCCGACGGGGCGGTCGACGACCTGCGCAGCGCGTACACCGCGCGGCCAGACGTGGAGGAGGCCGCCTTCGACGCGCTCTACGGGCAGCTGCTCGAGGCGCGCGGCGACCTCGAGGCGCTGCTCGGCCGTCCCCTCTCCCGCGGCGTCGAGGCCACCTTCGTCGTCTACGAGCCGGGATGCTTCTACAGGAGGCACGTCGACTCGCTCGCGGGCGTCGACCCGGCGGGGAGCGGCGGGCGCGCTTACTCATTCGTCGTCTATCTGACGGGCGAGCAGCCGTGGCAGCCGAGCGACGGCGGCGCGCTGCGCGTGTTCTGTGACGCCCTGGGCGAGGAGGTGGAGGAGGAGGTGCTGCCCGCGGCGGGGCTGCTGGTGCTCTTTGATAGCAAGCGGGTCTCGCACGAGGTGATGCCGACGAGGCGGCAGCGCACCTGCCTCGTCGGTTGGTTTCGCGAGGAAGTGTAAGAGAAAACCTCGTTCACGCAACTTGTGGAGCACTATCTCTCGGAGTGCGTGACCGCTTCTCTGATCTCTCCCCCCCCTCTGCACAAAATAATCACACACAACAGAGCAGACTAACGCACACAAAAAAAGAACAACCACGCGGCGTGAAGACTTGGGTCCGGGGTTGTGTTTTTGTGTGAAGTGCGATTTCGGGCACGGGGTTGTGCGTTTATGTGAAGAAGTGCGTTTATGTGAAGAGCGAGGCGCTCGCCGCGTGCGGCGATTGAGCGCCTCCCTCTCTCGCTCCGGCTGCGCGCCTGACCGGTGCAGCCTCCGAGTCGGCGTCTAGCGCGCGCGGTAAGGTTTTTGCTCGCCTTCCCTGGGACCCCGTGTTGCGTGACTGTCTGTGTGCCATTTCGGTCCCGGGGTTGTGCGTTTGTGAATAGCGACTCTCTGTGACTTTGGGCTTGACTTGCCAGCCCCACCTGGCAAGGCACGCCGCCCGGCGCAGCGTGCTCTCCGTCCGTCAATGTGCCTCCGCGACGCTGCGCCGCCTCGTGCGGGCGAAAGCAGCACTGGACCGTCCTCCTGGCTCCCGGGCGTCAATGCTGTGCGGCGGGAAGAAGCTGTGGACGCCGGAAGTGCCGCTGTCACGACTCCGCCCAAGCTTGCACCGCCGTCCCGCCGTGACTCTGGATTCACCCGCGTCCACACGCTCCTCGCCGTCGCCTCGCGCGTGCCGGACGCCTGCGACGACACCTCGCGGGAGGTCCGACCCTCGTCCATGGCGCTGTGCTCCAAGCTGTCCTCCTCCGTCTTTCCATACTTCGA